CTCATATTTGAAAGTATTTTACGAGCGGTAAATAGCAAGTGATGGCAGTAATGTTGAGCGCTGCAAAATGCAATAGACATAGGATGCCCGTATATGCCGAGCTAGGCTTATCTACGGGCTTAACATATTATAAAATTGAATTACAATACCAGCGAAAAGTTATTGCTGTCACGAAGAACAATGCCGGCAAGCAATACAATTGAACTGTATTATGCTTTCAAAAATTCACTTTTCATATTTGTGGTTTACATATGGTAGTGTGACAAAAGAAAAGCTTATTATGCAATACTCAGATACTCACTTCTTCATTATTTCCTTTAAGTATGGTAAAAAATAAACAAGTTAAGAAGTATTTTTCTAACTTATCCATGACACTGTTAGACAGATTCATTGAAGTTGGGAAATTTCTTAGCTTGGATTTTGAAAGATATTTTCAACTTGAAGTTAGTTTTTGAGATCAAATATTTATAGAAGGTAATGGTTTTAATAATTTGATTTTTTTGGAGAATTTCGCATTCGAAGTATTTTCAATGTTAGGTTAATAAGCCCTCTAGAGGTACTCTAGTTAAAAGAGACTAAACTCTAGACCACCGATATAAGAATTTAATGATTTTACAAAGTGATTACTAGTTTTAAAAATTTCAATCCGAAGAAGAAAAAATAAAAAAAAAACTCATGATTTTTAGTATATCGATATAATTTAATTTGGAACCAAGAAATAACGTTAACTTCTGCTGCACCGAAGCTATAATACCCTTCACAAGTGCATTTCCTATAGGATAAAAATTTATAAAAAGATCTTTGTCTTGATTTTGATCGATCAGTTTGTACTTGGTTTCGATTGATCAGTTGGCAGCTAAATATATATTATATGGGGCCGATATCGGCGGAAACTGAGCAGCTTATTGAAGTGAAACGAACGTGTGCAAAATATCAGATCGATATCTCACTGATAAATTGAGGGAATAGGTCGCGTATATACAGACGGACACACAGACAGAAATGGCTAAATCGACTCAGTTTGTCCTGCTAATCATTTATATATGTATTTTAAAGGGTCTTCGACATTTCATTCTTGGTGTTACAAACTGCGGGGCAAACATATTGGGAAAAGGGGTTGAACTAGTAGTAACAATCCTCTACTCAAAGTTGAAATAAATATAAAAATTTCGGCACTTTTCGATCAGTGAGGAATGAGTATATATCTTGTAGTGTAAGATATCAAGGTAATATTACATATTTTGTATCACTAGCAGAACGCTCATAGAATAATTTCTTTAAAAAAAAACAATGAATATGACATATATGTACATAACGGATTTACTTAACCTTGAGGGAGCTTTACAATACCTAAAGACATACAATAAGTGGAGTTCCCGCTTTAATGACATACAATTGTCATTGATCCCTCTGTATTTATTGAATTCATAATAAAATAATATATTATTTACATTTGCATATTTGCATACAAATATAGTAATATTCTTATTAAAAACAATTTATTTGTCAAATTGATTGAATACTTGTTTTTTATTATTTAGAAAATTAAATTACATGTGGTTCGGTGAGGCAAGACGAGTTCAAACACTCACTTTTCAAATATTCTTTTGGCTGATGTTTATACGTTTAACAATTAAAATACAAAAACAAATTAAGTATTAATTTATGATCGTATGCGCATATATTTGTATTCTTTTTAATTCAAGTAATGGAATTAATTTGACGGTGACAAAGAAAGTATATTATTTATTATTAATGTTTTTATCAAATGTATTGAGTATTTATTTTTCAACAATTACTGCTTTTCTCAGATATTAGACTTTATTGATCGTTTTTAACATTTGGCTAAGCATAACCTTTTTTTTCAAACATTTAAATATACGTTTGCATGGATAATAAACAATTATGAAAGGTAGCTTATGGAATTTTTAGAAAAATTACTAGAGAGTTTCACACCTGAGCAAGATACTGAATATTTTAGTTTCTCCCATTTTCTGAGGTATAAAAAATTTGGAAATGCAAGCAAGATAGAATACTGACTAGAAAAGTACATACGCGTTTAATTTTTTATGCTCGAAAGAATACAATATTTCATTTATTTCATATTTTATAATGTTTTACGATACGACTACAATGCAAGTTTGACAGCTTACTCCGTTCATGCCTTCTCTACACTTTCTTAGTTGTTACTGCATATAATACATTAAAACATTGTAACAGCTTGTGTTTACCATTTGTAACAAATAAATGCAGGAATTTAATTTATTTCGATTCATAATGCATGCTGCATGTAATCTAATATGTAAGTATGTGGTCTAACAGGAAAAAGGCATTCGGCTTCAATAGTCTGTTGCTTCAATAAAACAATGTCTTTTGATAATAAAAAAAATTATTTGTTGAATATGGATATTATTGTAAGACACGTTCACGGCTTCACGAACTTACTACCATAAAAATATGAGGTTATGTTAAAATATCCGTACATTTTATTTATCCTCAACCAAACGTCTTAAGTGATTACAGAATATTAGATTAAAAAAAACAAGAAAACGCGTTAACTTCGGTTGCACCAAAGCTATAATACCGTTTAGAAATAAAAACAAGTTTTCTGTGCAAAATCGGACAGTTTGTATGGCAGCTATATGCTCTAGTTGTTCGATCTGAAAAGTTTGTTCGATTTGTTGCCTTGGATAATAATCTATAGCAAATTTTGAGAAAACATCTTGTCAAATAAAAAGTTTTCCATACAAGGACTTGATTTTGATCAATGTTAGCTATATGCTATAGTGGTCCGATATTGGCGGTTTTAACGAGCACCCTCCCGGTCAGAAAAGGGCGTGTGCAAAATTTAAGATTGAAATCTCGAAAACTGACATGACTAAATCGGCTAAGCGCGTCATGCCGCTAACATATACTTGTATTATTTGTTTTTAAGCTGTTCAGTAAATTAAGTCACACAATTTCTGAAACAAAATTTACAAAAAAAAAAAAAAGTAAATAAAATAAAGCCAATGTCATTTAACTTGATTAGTTGTTGACTAAGGCTGTTTCTACGTACAGTTCAGAATTTGTTTACAGTCTGTGTACTTATATGTATAAGTGCCTCAACAGGTTCTATTGCCTAAAGTATACAGAGACCGCACTAAGAGGTTTGATACGTTGTCAATGACATTTTTGCGGCCGCTTACAAGCCGCACTTAATTATTTGCCAAAATTTAGAAAACCAAATAAAGTCGACTACAGCGAATACAATGAATATTACTCATTTGTATGTGTGTGTTTATTTTATATGTAAATTGGTAAAGGTTGAACTGTGAGAATGCGGCTAAAGAACGATGCGCTTTGCTCAGTCAACTTTGCTTGCAGTAAACACAAGAGTATTACCCAATAACTGGCATGCTAAAATGCTATTGTCATAATGGAGAGCTGCGTTGTATATACAGGGTATATTAGGGTGAGTCGATAATTTTTGGGGTTTAAGTAACTTTTGGTTTATTTATATACTATAGAGCCTAACATTTTTTTTAACCTTGTACTGATTTTTCAACATAGGTCACTGTGTAAACAATCTTAGAGTTCTTAGAGTTTTTCTGATAGCGCAGAGGCTTAGAAGGCCATAGTAGATCTCACGGTCTCTAAGTTGGTCCATGGAATTTTATCATGTCCGGGAGTTTTCATCGGAACTACAACATCGTGTCCTTTTTGCCTACAGAAGTAATTTTGCAAAGGACATAATCAGCAATTTGAGAGATCGGACTTGAACATCAGTTTCATTCATATATATTCATTATCACTTGACATTTGGTCACTAAAAATATTTGTTCACGTTTTAAGATCTTAAAGCTAAAATAAGTTGAATAAATGTTATTTATTTGCGACAAATTATGGAAATAGAACGTAAAAAAAGTAGACAGTATAATGCTCTCAAGACAAAATTCAACAAACATAGGTTCTCGCATGGTTCATTGTTAACTTTAATGAAAAGTAGACAAGTTAATATCGTGAACCATTAGCGCAATGAAAAGCTTTTGTTTGGCATAAGTTTTCTGTAAAATAAGGCAAGCGGATTACATAAATAAATTTACTCTTGACCAGCGCCTACAGTACAGCTTTAATTAAATCATTTTGGAGCATATTGAAATATATTCTCAATTACTTTATAGTCCTGACTTGACACCCAACGATTTCTGCTTGTTTTCATAAATCCATAATTCGGAGGCGAACTCCTTTTCACACCTGAAAAATGGGTTTAAATGCACGCAATGGTTATAAGGGAGTACTTATTATGTAATAGTACATGATTTACGGCCAATTAATTATTTTTACAAATTTGCACAAACTGAGGTAAAACGAACCAAAGGTTTGTTGCTTTAGAGTTAAAACATTTAGTTGTTGCTTAAACTGACCTAACCTAATGAGTACACGTACTAGTCGTTATTTAAATGAAACGTGTTGCCGCTTTTGGTCTTTTGCTCATATTTATCCGCAAATATTTACTCGTTAGTAAACGACAATTACCCAAGCTTTTCCGGCTGACATTAACATATTTTTTTGCATTCAACATTAACTTAGTACCACGAACCAATACAAGTACAGTACGGCATGCAGAATTATCCAACAGGTTTTTTGAATTACAAATTATGCTTATTTACTTAAAGCAATATTTTCTGCATAGTATTTATATTCAGGCAATATTACGTGTACCTCGTTTTCGGTTATCTTTGCATGTGGTCACTTGGCCAAAATTTGGCAATAATTCTAGTTAGCTGCACATGCTGTGGCTCTGCGGCTGTAACCAAGATTTGTGTTGTTATTTTCATAGTAAATTTTCTAGTTTTCAGCACACATTTTTGTACTTCTCATATTTTTTTCATGTGTAAAGACGAGGACACAATTAATTGTGTACAGAATATTTTTTATACTTAAACGTTAGTTGTGTGCATTTTGCTTAGTTAAATTTATAAATTTATTATGTATGTATGTATAAGTGAAATACTTACGATTTGCAATTCAGTCATATACTTCTTCCACCACAGATATTTGGCGTATTCTGGTCCCATGGCGGACATCATATAGTAGAAATACATACAAACGTGCACGAAATTGTTGAGCAGATTGGGGAATGTTGCATTGCCACCTGTGGAAATTTCGGCAAGGAACATAATATTAATGTATATAGTTTGAAAATTTTCAAAGTTATAAAAATGTCTAATATAATCTTCTAAGCGTTAAACTTAGCCAGTTTCCGGGTAAGTTAAACGCGTTTTTCTAAAAACTGCATTTTTAAATCAGGCGGCGCTGATGCTCAGAGATTGTCCCACGTATCTACTTGAAATTTTAACTGTTACTTCAAAGTAACATTATCTAGTACTACTAATATATACAATTTATTTGTTATTATTCTAACTTTTTTTATTAATAACTTTCTGCTTATGTTTTTAGACCAAAAATTTTAACTCTTTGCTATAAATCCGCCATTTTGCAAAACATTAATGTAAAGCTAAAACCTAACTGGCAAAGTGACTTATTAGGCAATCTGAAGTATTTCAAAATCTCGTTTTTTATATTTTCGTTTCTTGGAATCACAGTCTATAGTTCATATGCGAAAGCTCAGAGCAAACGAGCTCACAATTGACAAAAAAAAAAAAGATTCGATGATTCTGAGAAGTTGTTACAGCTATCTAATAGTATTAAATCAGAATGCGAACTTAAATGTTGGGTTGATTTGTAATAATGGATGAATCCTGTATCATCCGAGTCGATTGGACGTGGTGAATCAAATCGATAGAGTGGTGAGATGTATTCGTAACACTCAGCTGACAAAGAAATTGGCGAGAATGGGATGAAAGAATGATGTTACAAAAGCAATTGAATGTAACGAAATCATAGTGCTCGTTATATACAGTGCATTAATAAAGTGATAACTGTTCATTAATTTGATTTTTTAAATTCTTCAGTGTTAAACTTGGATAATTTACACGAACAGCATTAGAATACGAAATATAGTTATTAAACTAGAAGGTTTAGGAGCAAAGTTAGTAATATGTTTGAGAAGAGTTGCCATCTATTTATTTAATTAAATTGTTAAAATTAAAATTCTGGGACTCGAGCATAAGCAATTTAAATTCAAAATTATGATTTATATATTTTACATAGTTTTAAACTATAAATATTTTTTAAAGGGTTGCCAAATTTTTAAAATGAAATTTTACAAATTACTCGAACAATTATACTATTGATCTCCAACTAGAGAGACTTAAAAAAAAATTCATGGGAGAGTGTGTAAACATTTCTGTGGTTATATGTAAACGTGCCACTGCTTTTGAATTATTCTGATTCTGAGATAACGAGGTATTTCTCAATACTTTCACATAACCTAAAATAATAAATGAATATAAAAAATGTATAAAGATTTATTTCTTAATATATTTGTATACAAATTAATCTGCGGAATTTTAATCTGGCAAATATTGTGTTTGAGCATAAAATAAAAATTTTTAAAAATTATTAACTTACTTAAATTTGTATTTTCAGAATCAAAAATTATATATTATAAATTTCTTAAGCCTCAAACACTTACCAGCCAAGAATTTTACTAGTACCCAGGTCTCCAATGGCGTCACCGAGTGATGGTACACATGCAACCATGTTATTTGTGACGACTTTTTCCGAAGCACAAAGAAAAATGTGTCGGCAAATTCAGTCAATTTCGAGAGGTAGTAAACGTAACAGAGATTTAGCATCTGTAAATACACAAAAAAGAAGAAAATTAATATAGTAAAATAAAACTGATTTGAATAATTTTAGACATCAATACATATAAGTTGTTGTAAGAATTACTTAATCATAAATTGTTACCACTTAAAATTTATTTATTTGTAAATATAGTTTTGAGCAAACAATTTGTCTTTAATTGACATTAACTAAGTCTGGACGTTTCTGTCAAACGATCGAGTATTCAAATTAACATTGTATCATTCAAATACCAAAATAATTTCGGTGTTTTCATATTTATTTGTAAAGTGACCTTACATCTCAGCCACGTGCCCAAATAATATATGCGCAACCACATACGTACATATTTACATATTTATTCCGTCATAACAGATATTCGCACTGTTTAGCTCAAAAAAGAAAACACAACTATAAAAATCAAAGGTTTGAAAATTGTTTTTGCAAAGAATTCGTAAACACAAAAGCACGCACAAGCGGTGAACAGCGTAAACTGTAAGCGTAAACCGTAAGCGTCATTATCACTATGGGCATCAATGATTTTGAATAAAGATTTACAATCGCATTGTATGTGTTAGTGTGTATGCATATTTTTATTTAGTAAATACTATAAAAGTCACACTGTGCTTTATGCTTTTTTTTGTCAATTTTGACAAAGGAGAAGGTATAAAAGACTTAGTTGAGTAGGTAAGACATAAAAATATTGTAGCAAAAATATCATAAACTTCTAACCATACATACATACATATGTACATATTTATATAGTTAGTTATATAGCAGGTTATGTTTTTATACCATATTTACTGTTTTGTTTGTATTTTTGTGTATTTTCGCGGCAATTATCAATGGCTCTACTTGTAGGTCAAAACGCGAAGTGTTAAGACCAATGTTGAGGTGTAAATTTGAATTCTAAAAATCGTTTAGGAAAGAAGGTGATAATATATTAAAAAAAAAAATTGGAAAATTATTATGGTATATAGCGTCATTGAGTTGTTTGGTAATGACGATTCACTACATCATATAATGTTAATGTTATTAAAGTTTTAGCTCATGCTATCAGATATAATCAAAGTACAATATAATAATATAATTTCAAAAAAACGTATCATTAATTGTAAAAAGTGTTGTTACGTTATTTTGCATTTTAGGTGACGATATATGTATTATATTTAACTGCTGCGAAATAAATGATATCTGAATTTTTTGTGAATGGAAGGGAATATAGTTGTATTTAACGTTAACCTATACCTATGCTATAATATAGAGTATTATACGGGTAAATTTAATTATGATTAAAGGGTTTACCTAATGTGAGAATTAAAAAAAAGACTATTATTTTTTTATATTTCGATGGGTTATGCCCTTAAAAGTAATAAACTAAATTTTAAATCGATATCGTAAATATTTTTTGAGTCACAGCTCTAAAAAGTGTAGCCACTTTTCAATCAGTTCAATCAATTTATTTTAAAACGCATTCGCCAAAGTTGCTCGAATGATTACTCGAAGGCAAACTAAGCAATCGCTATAACATCTTTTTTGTGCATTTTATGTATATAGTTTTCTATATCTTCTTTATCTGACAAAAAATTTAATTTTGATAGGCAAAAAACTACTTAAAACTACTAAGAATTTTTTTATGTTTATGCCGGTATAACTGCAGCTGTGAAGGGTCATTGTACCGCTATCAGAAATCTTATAGTAGAAGAATATTAATGATATTAAAACATTTTTTTATCAAACATTCTTTGAAATTCTGTAAAGTAAATCCAATTCAATTAAAGCGTTGATTAAACAAAAAAGTTTTCGAAAATGACTATAACATAAGACAAACTAAAAGTCTTACACACACTTGTTTAATCTCATGCCTTCATTATGTCTTTAATTGAGAGTAAATCTGCAATTATGTGAATATGCGAATGTTTTTTATGCTTCAGAATATGATTTAGACTCAAACAAGTAAGGAGGAGATAAAAATATAGTTTAAAGCAAGTAAGAGCTGGGGGAAAACATGGATTTACTCTTTTTTACTGGATTTACTTATCCTATAACCAATATGCTTATCTAGTTTTATTGAAAATTCTTGCTTAATACCAAAATATTTACTTTGAAAAAAGCAAACTTATAAAAATCAAATAAGGTTCTTTGTATTGTGTATATGGAAGATCACAAGGAGAAGAGATATAATTTATTAAATTTTAATTACTGAGAGGTGGATATTTAAACCATATCAGAGAGAGAATTGAGAATTGAAAATATTATTTTTTGATATGAATGAACGCCAAAAAATGTTAATTCTAAAACAAACTCTTTTTTAATTCTTAACTATATGCTTGAGATTGAAATTTTTCTTTTTTATTTTGCAATTCGGTATTTGGGATTAAAAATGTATCTTTATTTTTGGAATAAAATTTTTTTTATTTGGTAATCCGGTATCCCAAATAAGGAATTAAACAACAAAAAAAAATGTAAATCAAATGTTAATTCAAAGAAGCACATACATTCTTTGAAAAACTGCAACATACGCAATTTTAAAATTATTGTTGTCTTTTCATTTGGGATCAATAAACCAAGCGGTAGATTGCCTACTTGAGGGGTATTTTTTATTTTTATTGCAATTCCAATTAACTAATATTTAATTTTGCTTTCTTCACATCTAATTTTATACATTCACAAACGATCAAATACACAGTAAATTAAACTAATAAATAAGAATTCTAGCAATTAGCTAGAATGAAAATCTGCCAAGTCATATTTAACACTAAATTAAGTTATAGAAAATTTTGTGATATGTTTATATCTGGTCTACTTTTATTGTTTTGTTTGTTCACACTATTTATATGTGGTTATTAGCTAAGCTAATAACTTTTCAAGAACCCACATACCGAATATGTGGACTCTATTGCGTATGGCTGAGTTATTGCCGAAAATATCAGTCAATCTGAAATTCGGGGAAAATGTTTCAGCGATAATAGTGAAATTGTAATCTATTCATGATTTCGTCGAAGAATGAAGTTGAACCCTATCGCCACATTAATTAATATTGCCAACACCTGAAGGTATTTAGACGGCTTTGACCCTTGCAAGTTGCAAGAGTATGAAACGTTCGGTTCCACCCGAACTTAGCCCATATTTTGTATTATTATTGGAGATTTATAGCAACTCCGTAATATTACATTTAACAGCTCTGTAATTGGAAGCGTGGAAACACCAACACCGGAAATTCCATATCTACTCAGCTGGTTTTTATTTTAACGATTGCTTAACGATTGTGAATTTATGCTTCTATTATTACCTACAACTTGGTGTCCTTGTTGGAGTAAAAAAAAGGTATATGATATAAATGTATACCATATATACCTTTGTATTTATATATTTAATTTTTTTCGAATTTTTTTTTTGGTGCAGTGCGTAATTTTAATTGCGTATTGGATTTCCCCGACAGTGATTTTATTGTTTTATTTGCGCATGAGTAAGCAGAGCTCACATGATTTAGGCGGAGTTATAAAAATTAAATATATTTCATATGCATTGACATTTAAATAAATTAATTTAAAAAAATATATATATTTGAAATTATTGATAAATATTATACATCTACACTATTGTTATAAAGAGGAAAGATTTGTGTGTATGTTTGTAATGAATAACATAAACTCAAAAACTATTATAACTGTTCACGATTAAGAAGCTACATCCACACTGAGTAACATAGGCTATATTTATTCTTAAAACCTTAAGTAACGTAACGCAAGATGTAAAAAATGTGCCCGAAAACGTCTTTGGTTGCATGTGCTGCGGAAACTATTGAAAGTATTTTCTACAATAACTATAATAAAACAACTTCGCTACTATCTTTTAAGATTTTTAAAGTTAACAGAAAATTAGACCATGTTATATATAACATACTTCTGTTTAAATCCTTATTTAAATAATGAGATATGTACATGTGATATCAACTAAATCGCTAAACCACATAACAGCTTGACCATTTAATTTCATTAAAATATTAGATTTTGAACCAACCTGAATGGTTTAATGGCAGGTGGCAAGACGAAAATAATTATATGAGGCATTTGGGGGAAGAGAAAGGGACGGACTGATTGCATTAATTTGGACATTGCTTTGGTTTGACATACTTGAGAACATATTTTCAAACAATTTATATATATATATATAGCTCACACAATGAACGACATATTGGCAATAAAACTTGTTACTGAGATAACTTACATATTGGCCGATATATGTGGTATAAAGTCACCCGGAAATTCGAACATCTTTATAGTAAGTATATTGGGGCCAAGGGATATATTGACTCAATTCAACTCATTTTTGACACTCAGGCAAACTATTATCAGGAAGTTATCCTGTCTGAATTTCATAATATATCTCACACACTGACCGATATTTTCGGTAAAAAGTCAACTATAACTACTGGGGTCCACATTTTCGGTACATAGGGGCTTAAACAGTTTTGGTTCGATTTGGACAATTTCTGGTCATAAGGTGGAAAATTTTAATGGCAATATGCGTGCAAAAACTTGCGTCTCGATACATTAATTCTTGTTTGATTTGCATACTATGCGAGACAATGCCATGGAATTCAAAATTGTGTTGAAGAGAAATCGATCTAGGAGGTCCCGAGATATGGGTCTTCCCCTAAAGGTTTGTTTTAGATAATATAAAACTTAATTGCACTATGTGTAAAATTCAACGTCTCGGACTTGTTTGTTTAAGAGTTATCAGACTTTTACTAGTTTTAATCAAACCCATTATTTTCGGAGTAGGCGGGGTTATCGCCTAAATTTATCTATTTTTACACTGTTGATAGGGGTGCTAAAAAGTGAGTGAATTTGGATATTATAGCTTTAACGGTTTTGGAGTTATGCACATTAAATCTATTAGCGTAATGTGATTCATTGTACCAAATAACAGTCTTGTTGTGGGGCTCAGTCATCTCATTTGGTTTCTAATTAATGTCACTTTGTGGGCGTGGCAACGGTCCGATTAC